TTTTTTTTTTGTTGATTCTGTTGCTGCTTCGATTTTGCTGTCCTGTGTTGCTTTTTTTTTTTTTTAATTGTCATTCTTTTTTTTTTTTTTTTTGTTGCTAATTTTGCTGTTGTCCTGATTCTGCTTCTTTTGTTGTCCTACCCTGTCAATATGAAAATGTATACAATTGTTAGTATTTGTTTGAATTTAAATGTTTAAGTTATGACTGTTATTAAGATTTGAGATATTATTAGTGTTTTTTTTTATTTAAAGGTTTATGGTTTTACTTGCATTTAAATATTTAGTATATATAAAATTAGAACTTAGATTGTTTAGAAGTAATTAAACTAAAATATATATTTTTTTTAACTGTTCGCTTTGCTTCGGTAAAGCGTGTCGCTTCGTTTCTCGCTTCTCGCCTAGGCGTTAGGAGCCTTGGTCGCTTCGGTTCGCTTTACGCCTTGTTCAACTTTTCTAGTAATTTCAGACTTTAAGTTATTCATCATATTTTAAACCCACTGGGTATTTTTATGTTAACGTAAGTGAGATTAATGGATTCCAGAAAAGAGAGAATTAAAAATAGGGAAGGTGGAATTCAAACCTTAACACTGCGGATGTGTGGCACCAAACTGATGAACACCACTGTATCCTATTGACCTTCTTTTGCTAAGAAATTAGCTTCTTAAGTCTGCCACACTATGTGCTCGTTTCCCCTGAAATTTGATTGATGACAACCGGAGCATGAACAACAAAAACATCATATGAAAGTAACAGTATTGGTGCTTGAAGATTTTTCATTTATATATTGTCGATGCCTTTTCTATCAGGAAAAAATAAAATAAAATTTGTCAATGCCTAATTTTTTGTTGAACACAAAATACCATTTTGAGATTTCCATAATGCTTGATGTACAAGAGGGCTTACTGATGCAACAGGGCTTCTAAACTTGGATATGCTAGTAAATATTAAACTTCTTGCCACAGGAAACATGATTAAGTTTAGATCAGGAGATTTAACGCGCATTAAGTCCAATATGCCGCTTAAGATGCTCATAACTAACACAAAAGTTGGGAGGAACACGAAGGCATTAGTTGCTAGCGTTTCTGAGAGGAAAGTCAGGCACCCTGATGCTATGATTGCTGTATTCACTGCGGTTGATTCTATCAGCAACGAACTGGCCTCTATTATCCAGTGTCCTGCCTCTGATGATCTTGTCATAACTGAGAAGGAAGAAAAACTAGAAGAGCTGATGGAAATGAATCAAGGGTTGCTCCAGTGTATGGGGGTCAGTCATGCTTCTATAGAAACTGTGCTTCGAACAACATTGAAATACAAATTAGGGTCCAAGTTGACAGGAGCTGGTGGTGGAGGCTGTGTTCTGACACTATTGCCATCCCGTATCCATTTCATTAATCTGCTCCTAAATGCCGCTCTTTAATTTTTTAATACATCAATTGTTTTCTTCTTCCATATTTTGAATATTATAATGATTACATTCTATGTTGAATTCCATGCTTTAAATATTTTCTATATACCCTTTTTCTTGTTTTTGTTGCATCTTTATGCATGACATCATTTGGTTGTTATCCTTCACTACAAGAAGGTAGATGATGGCCTAGAATACATCCAGTGGGTTACACATATATCTCCCCTGACTACTCACTACTTAATGTTGTCCTCTCTAGAAATACATGCATTTAACTATTATTTTGCAAATGAAGTGCACATGTTACCTAAATTTGTAAGAGAATTAGAAAAAGGTTTTAGGATGTACTGCATTGTTTATTCCTGTGGAGTTTTTATTTTGTAACTATATGACATCTAAAGTTAGTTCCAGCCTCATTTGACAAATTGTCTATTCATCGCTTATCTAAACCTAGCACTGCAACTATGGTTGCTGGTTGCATTACCAACTTCACCGGAGCATTGGCCTTGTATCCAAGAATTATATTTAGGAGAGATATGATGAGGCAAAAGTGATAGTTTAAAAGGAGACCATTTTTCTTGAGATAGCATAAACTAGAGTTTGAAGTAAGAGGTGTGAGCGTGTTCAAAAGAGTTAAGAGGCTGGATTCACTTCTGTGCTACAGTGTTTCGTTGCCTGAAGAGAAAATGTGTAGAATAAGGAAGAAACTATCGGCGTAAGGAATGAAAGGAGTAGATGACCTTATGTCCACCCCTACCTCCAAACACAAATTTATAATGGCATGATATATAAGAGAATTTGAAATGTATAAAGAACAAGAAGATAACGATGAAAACTAAGAGATCTGTTCTAAGAATTTATTTCAGTGGTAAATAACTTGCAGAATTCCAAGTTGTGCTAAATGCTTGATGTAGAGATGATTTGGTGTCAGACAATCTCTGAAGATACGGGAGCTTGTCTCCTAGATTTTCTTTGGCAACCAATAACGAGGAATTGCGAGTCATTCCTTCACATGAATCTTTTGTTATTGAGAGTAAGGCTAAACACCATATTTCTTATATCTTGATGCAATTTAACCTCTTGATTATTTTTGCGGAATATAGAAAGCAGTAATTAATCGATTACTTTGATAGGTGACTGTACAAAGTGAGTTGCAGAATTCTGGTGATTTAAGCCCATAATTCCAGATCAGTCTAGTTTGAACTGCACTGGCAAAAGGAGTTCGAGTCATAAACAAATCTCTTAATCCAAAGTTTGTCCAAATGAGCTTTATGTGTTCTGTGCTTTCAAAGCACTAGAAGAGGAGAAAAGGAGGGTTTTTTTTTTTTTTTTGGGGGGGGGGGTTACTGTACTTTACGAGTTCACTGTTAACTAATTATGGGTTTATAAATGGTAGGTGGAATAAATATTTTTTCAGTATATGCTCTCAAGTGTCAGCTCATATGTTTGAGAACATTCATTAAGTAGATTTAACTTTAGCCTTGTAAGTTATCATCTTCCAAATTTTCCTTGACAACTGAAATCAGTATTATCAGGAACAGTGGTTGATAAAGTAATTGCTGAGCTAGAATCCTGCGGATTCACGTGTATGATTGCTGGAATTGGCGGGAATGGTCTTGAGGTTTGCTTAGGTGGTTCGTCTTGATTTTACCCTGTGGACGCAATTAATAAATAGAAAGGTTTGTTTCTGTAACGTCAAATAATGTTATGAAAATGTATGTTTCCACAACCCTGTTCTTTTGATAATTGTTTTCTGCGCATTTACTCCATTATTGTTGTTGAATTCCTATACTTGGTACTTCTAGTTTTCATCAATGTTACACTTCAGAGAAATTTAAATTCCTAGATTGTTTATTCTGTTGCTTGAAATAATTGTGAAACTCATATGGCTTTCAATTTTAGAAGATGCTAGCTTTTACCTAGTTTTCTGGGCATGCCTTCTTGTTGCCATAGATAAAAGAAGACGTTCCTTGTGATTTCTTTTGTATATAGACTATTTCTAAAGCTCCATTATAAATATCCCTGAACCGTTCAGTAATTGGACCCTGCCAACTCATAATTCATCACCCCATACCCTCTTATATTTATCCATTTTCACTTGCTGATGTGAAATATGCGCTAATCTAATGTTTCTTTCCTCATTAGTTTCATCATATTCGAAGTAATGCTTGTTAGAGCTTGTTCCACTTTGTCAGTGAAAATGTAAGGCCTTCTAAACATGGATATGAGATAATTAATTAGGCTTGTGTTGGATACTCTAAACTAAATTCCGAACCCTATTCAGTACAGTATATCCTTGACCCTAGCATCCTTTATTTCCATTACCTTCACTTTACCTTTCATTTTCTTATGTTTTCATTCTTGTTCCTAAGGTCGCATGTTCAGTAGAGATCAGATGAGTTTTTACGTTGGTTGTCAATTAGTTAATAATGTTGTGTATTTTTGGAAACAAAATCTCCAAAATTTAAAAAAGAACACCACCACCACCACCAAGCCACTACTACCACACTTCCACCACCATCCTTCTACCAATACCACCACCAACACATTTTCACTACAATCACATTTCTGTTTTCATTATTTTTTGGATTACTTTTGAGATAAGTTTTACTGTTTTATATTTCATAAAACTGTTTTTGAAATAATATGATCAAATAAGTTGTACGACACAAAAAATACCAAAATAATTTTTTAAAATTTTTCTTAAAAAAAAATTCAGATATTATTTTTTGAGATGCAAATTAAGCAGAGCCATAAATATTATGTTTTCGTGTTGATCCAAATTTGTAGTACGCAACGTCTTTGATGGTTTGATTGTGTTACTTGGAGTGTGTTTCTTTAACTGTAAATGNAAAAAAAAAAAAACGAAACGCAACACCCAAAGAATATTTTCTGGCTTGGTCTCAATGATCCATATTTATGGTAAGATGTTAATTGATTTGTGTTATGTTATTTTGAATTCGTGTCACAAAAAAAGAAGAAGAAGTTTTTGAATTAAAAATCATATGAGTAGGATCCTTTTTTCTCTCGATCAAATCCATAATAAGTGGATCCTCGNATTGTGTTACTTGGAGTGTGTTTCTTTAACTGTAAATGTCAATAAAATGTATTTTTTATTATTTTTGTGTAGAGGTTCAATATTTTTCAATGAATATAAATTACGAAGAAAAAATGAACTTTCGTGTGGAGATTCGATTTTTGTTTTGATTTTGTTTACCGAGTATATAAATTGTATAAACAAATTGATATTTTTCTAGAGTCATATTTTTAGAGGAATTTCATTGAATATTTTGAAAAGAGCACGCTATGCAAACTTAAAAATCTGGCTTGAAGATGTAGTTGTTATATTGATCATTGATTTAATTACGGTTCCAAGTATTTNATTAAGAAATGAAAAAATAACTTATGAAATTTTCTTACTATCACTTCAATAGATTATTGTTGTTAGTCTATTAATAATTTGTATAATTGATCATATCATTTTGGAAAAATTTTAGCCACACTCCTTCTAGTTTACCATATCTTCGAAAATATTCCCATTATTTTCTGAATCTTTACTAACACCTCTTGTCAGATTAAATATGTTAACTAGAATTTAATTTTACTAAATTGTTTATAATATATTTTAGGAAAAATTCCATCCACACCTTATCTAGATGGATATATCTTCTATGAGACTCCTTCTATAAGCCCAAATTTTGATGCATAAAAAAAATAAATTTTAATCAACTCGAATTTTAATATGTAAAAAAAAAATTTAATCAATTTAAATTAAATTTTAATTGATATGAATTTTAATAAGTGAATACGTAAGTGTAGCTTTAGAGGTGTTTCTCTCAATTAAACCTCAACCCTTCTTTAAAATGATGTGTTTTAACCGGCTGGTTTGCTTAAAGATTGTACATAGTGCATACGATTCTCATCTGCAAGAATTTGGAAGAAATAAGCGGTAAACGGCATTAAACCAATTTCAAAAGGATTAATGCCTATGTTCAAAGCTCGTCGAGCAAATGAACAATTATCATCACTCTAGCTTTACCGTTGGTGAGAGAGAGGCAAAAAGTTGATAATTACCAAGTTCGAAGAAACAAGGATGATCTAAATCCCTTTGTCCAAAATTCTAACGCTGCGTTTGGTATAAAAGTAATGCATTTATGTAGGAATGGAATGAACATGAGAATAGAATGGAATGCACAATATCATTTCAATGTTTGGCAATTAATTAGGATTAAGTGCTAGAATGAAATGTTCATTCCACTCCAAAGTTTGGATAAAACAATTTTTTCATTAGAATGGAAACCATTTTAACCAAAATATTCATAGTGACTAAAAATAATTAATAACAATTTTTTTTATGATTGCGATTGCCTTTGAAAGTTATGTGTAAAAAAATTTATAATTAGAAAAAATGAGAATCTATTAAAAAAAAATAAACCCCTACAAATTTTAAAAAAAATTTAGAAAACAAATTCTTTCAAAAATAAGTTCACAAAAAAAAATCAAAATCGAAATCAAAAAATATTCAAAATTTGTTATTCATTTCAAATGAACAACTATAGTTCTTTGTGAATTCAATAGAGCACATGTGCAAACCCAAAAAGAAAACTATCAAGACAACTAAGGATTTTATCCGAACATGCAAGTTGAACTAAAAAATAAATCAATGAAAAATAAGTCCAAAAAATAATCAAACATATACCGAAAACAAAAACAAGTTGAATAAAAACAAGAATTCTTAAATTTCATTCATTTCATCTCAATAGCATTTGAGGTAAAATTCCAAAAAATAAAATCATTTTCAAATATAAGAACAAAAATTTACACTCTTTGTCCACTTGCTCTCCACTCATCAAATATTTTGTTTGTCAAATTTAATCTAAATGTTGACCACTTGTTGGATGTTTCAACCGTAATAATACGATCATTTTGTGCATCATTTTTCACCGTAAGACCTGCTGCATCTACCTCCGCCTCAATTGGGTCTATTGGCATCTAATCCCTGAATCAAGAAGTTATTATTATACGATTTTGTATTTTGATGGGATAGAAAGACGGACTTCTTAAAATAGTCCAACTTTTATTCAGTAGCCCAAAATAAACATGTGTCATCCCTTGCATAAGCATAGTAATAGACAATAGTCCTCCTTGCAAAGAAGTGCTAATAAAGAGAACTATAAATAATTCTAATGCAAAAAAAAAAAAAAAATCCAAAATAAAAGGGTCAAACCTTGTTCAAATTTCAAACCAAGCTTNGATTTTATCCGAACATGCAAGTTGAACTAAAAAATAAATCAATGAAAAATAAGTCCAAAAAATAATCAAACATATACCGAAAACAAAAACAAGAATTCTTAAATTTCATTCATTTCATCTCAATAGCATTTGAGGTAGAATTCCAAAAAACAAAATCATTTTCAAATATAAGAACAAAAAATTACACTTTTTGTTCACTTGCTCTCCACTCATCAAACATTTTGTTTGTCAAATTTAATCTAAATGTTGACAACTCGTTGGATGTTTCAACCGTAATAATACGATCATTTTGTGCATCATTTTTCACCATAAGACCTGCTGCATCTATCTCCGCCTCAATTGGGTCTATTGACATCTAATCCCTGAAACAAGAAGTTATTATTATACGATTTTGTATTTTGATGGGATAGAAAGACGGACTCCTTAAAATAGTCCAACTTTTATTCAGTAGCCCAAAATAAACATGCGTCATCACTCGCATAAGCATAGTAATAGACAATAGTCCTCCTTGCAAAGAAGTGCTAATAAAGAGAACTATAAATAATTCTAATGCAAAAAAAAAAAAAAAATCCAAAATAAAAGGGTCAAACCTTGTTCAAATTTCAAACCAGAGCAAACTACTTGGGTCAGCTAATTTACACCCCTAGACCCAATTATCGATCATGACAAAGATAAGTTGCACAAGTTTGGGCTGGTGGGCATCTTTCTTATGTTTTATGGGTATTTTTTTTTTGGTGGAGATAAAAAATCAACACCTGCAGCCCATTACAAGGACTGTCATCATGTTCTAACAGTTAAATTAATCAAATAACAAATTTTGAAGGTAAACGGAACCTGCTTTCTTTAAGATGGTCCCGCAAAACAATGAGAAGAATAAAAAAAGGAGTCAGGAACTTGCCGTTCCTGAATGTTCATTACCCAATAGCCAATAACATAATCAAACTTTCTAAAATTGAAATAGTTCACTAAGCACCATATGTAAGAATCATCGACTTCTTCCAAACATTCTGTATATAGTGTCATTACAACAAAGCATATCCATACATTCAGTTCACACTGCATATCCAGCCACATCAAATGACACTTCATTGGATGTAAATAAGCACGTAACTAAATATGCAAAATCAGGATAAACAATTTGCAGAATCATTAATTGGGCTTCAACTCAAATAGATTGCAACTTATTGAGAGCAGGGCACGAGCAATGCAATTTCTTTCATCTCTTTTCCATTCAAAACTAATTTCAAAATTCAAGTTTTCCTATAAACACCAAATTTGGACAATAGGGTGAAAACTTAGAAGAGTAGACAAAAAAAAATTGACGACACATCAGGCACATATCCAATATAATCAACAGCCTGATCAGTATACCAGGATGAGGGGGGAAATAACTTGGGCAAAAACTGTTTAAAGATTTCTCTAAACTATGAAGCCTTCAAATCCTGCCTCATCATCAGAAAACAGGTTCTTTCCATGGATGGAAGAATTAAGTGCTTTCAAGCACCTAAACATGCAAAAAAGGATTTAACTTCTGAAGCTATTTGAGATTGGACTGCCATTATAGAAATCTAACAAATTACATACAGTGAAAAATTACCATCAACCATCAACCAAACTATAAAATGATAAATCTCATGGGCCAAGTGAAGAGTTACCTGAGATTAGTGGCAATACCAAATCTGGTCTGCTCATCAATCTTGTCCCTTGCATCACAAAGAGATGAAGAAGAAGCTGACAATGGCAGGGGAGGGATGGACTGTCCTACTTCCCGCTGATGAAGGAAAAGTCACAGAGGTGAAGTGAGGAGAAGGGAGGAGAAGAGAGAAGCTGAGAGGAGAGAAGCAGGATGGAGACAGAACGATGAGCGAGACAGAGGAATAGACGATCGGGTTTTTCGTCTGGCTAATTACGGAGGTAATGGAATGAATAATACCATGGTTTATTTAGGAATGGCTAATCCCATTATTTATGAGATTAGTTATTCCTTTGAAATGGGAATGAAATTCTATTCCCACAAACCAAACAAAGGAATGAGATTACTAAGGACTATTCCATTCCCAAGGCCTAATATCATGTACCAAACACAGTGTAAGAGATAATAAAGATAAATTGTAAACTCAAACGTCCTAAATTCGAATTTTGAAAACTCCTTGTGGCCAAACCATGAAAAAATTATCCCTCATGAATATCTTAATTTCGGTGTGAATGACCTACCTTTGACCGAACTAGAGAGGAGAGTAGTCAAGGTACGCATAAGTTAGATACCTCTAACTGTTGAATAAAAAAAAAAAATTCCCTCTCCAAGGTGATGGTCCACACTCTATAGAGCATCCTGTTCAAAATAATGGCATCAAATTCTGCAGATTTACCATGCAATGCAACTACGGCACCACAACCATCCAGACAACATATACAGTAATAATAATAATAATTCTAGCCAATATGCTAAACACACCCAAGAAAACACAAGTGTGGCATCAATATAAGAACAAAAAGTTACCTAGTGGCAAAAAAACATATAACTTAGAAATATCTAATCTGACAAAGTAACAGATTTAGCTAAGATTAAACACAATTGAATAGCTGTTCTTATCAAAAATTCTATTTGAGAGAAGTGATAGGAAAGTTAATACACTTTACTTTATTTGCCCCAAAAGCTCCTCAAAAAGAACTCACATTTACTTCCAAGTCCAATGTGTAATGATGTAGGATTTCCATTTCCCCATTTCTCATCTCATGTCTCATTGAACCTGAGTTCTTACCCATCTCCACAGGAACTTCTTCACCTATGAGAATCTCACATTTTAACCCTCCGAGCACAACAATTTCAAAAGCATCGCAGTACAAACGATATACACTTAAATATTTTTGACTACTACGTCCTCGGTGAAGAATGAAGTAAGATGAAAAGAATAATTGGCAAGACTTGTAAAACCAAATCCAAACTTCAGTGTTCCAAGATGAGGAAGAGTAAAACAAAGGTCCTGGGGCTTCTGTATTGCCTGCCCAAACTTTTCAAGGATATATATCAATGGTCCTGCAAGCAGTGCATCTTTGTCGGTTACAAAGCTATGCAACATGCCGGTGACAATGCAGCGAGGCATTCATGTAAGGATCTCGACGTAAATTTCAGTTGAGAATACAAAATTATTGCCGATTAGAACTTCAAATTCACTTAAATCTGCAGTAGTAATTATGTGCCCAGTATCATTCCTGGAGATTGCAGGTTCCATTCAGCTGTCAAAGATTGGAGTACAAATGAAACATAAATTGAGCTATTGTGCACAGCAGGTAAATTAAATATAAGAGCAGCAAAAAGTAAAAGGAGGAGGAAAGGAATTTTTGCATTAGTTCAAGTCTTTCAGTCATCTATTTTTCTTTTTTCAATGAAATTCTAAAACGTCTTTTCATTTGCCAGTAATAGATAGCATAGCACACTAAGAAAGCATGAAATGAAGAACAAATTTTAATTTTCCCACTTTCACGAATATGTTAACCAATAGAACGACCCATCCCTTTCCCATCCCCCCCCCCCCC